CCTGAGATAATCTCTTGTTAGGGAGAGCAGGTGATGGTGAGTTTTAGTTTCCATTATTCCTCTTTTTGTCGTTCTGATGTGACTCCCCGGGCTAATTGGTCGCAGTGAGACCAGACTAAATTTGCAGCTCAGTGTTACGTGCTGGATGATATCAGGCTGATGTGGTTTAAGGGTTTTTGGTGGTCGGGTAAACATGGACTCAGATGTGTGAGAAAACAACCCTAAAATGTTTCCCATGTGTCAGTGGTTGAGCTCTTCTGTTAGACTGAAGTGAGTCGGGCATGACGATAATGACGTTTGTAGGTAAACAGCCTGACAAAGGTAACTCTCTCAGGTGTGATAATCCACAGGAGTCCTGCTTTCCCTTTTCCTCTGGAGGTGGGGGTGGAGTCAGCGGTTCCTATGGGCACCAGGGTGGAAAAAAGCAGAAGTGTTAAGTTGTTGTTCAGGGAGACTTATTCAGTGGGTAGCACCGGAAGTCAGGTGATCTTACTTCCAGAATTAAACACGCAGCTGATTCATCAAAATAGGAGTTAAAGATTTTAGTTTGTTTTAAAATAAAATGCTTTTAAAACTTAATTTTTAACAGGTGTGCAAGTGAAGCACAGTCCAGGAATATTAATTATGATAATGTTAAAGAAGTGATAGCATTAAAAATGAAAAAATGCAGTTGCAGTTGGCTCGCTTTATTTTGAAAAGCGCGACCGGATGTAGGTTTCATTTAACCACCTTTACGGATTAAAAACAGGAGCTCGCTGGAGCTGCACGAGTAGTTGTTCTGTGATCGTCTACCTTGCAGGCTGATGTTGTTTGGAGGAAGAAGAGGGTCCTCCTGAATTTGGATTTCCTCCTAAAGAAACATCTGCGAGCATTTTACGGACAGTAAGTTTATAAATGTGATTTATTTTGGGTTATTCTACTTTAATGGTCAGGATTATCCGTCCATAGGCTTTACAGAAACACTTTATTTCCATGTTAAAATAAAGTAGCATGGGTATTTAAAAAAAAAAAATAGTTACACCTTCTCCAGGCATCAATTTAGCAATTTTCTTTTGTTTCTAATAAATTATACAGGTGTCCAGCCACTACAGAAGGCAGGTGTAAAGAGATGAGCTGGGAAGTGCTGTATTTATCCATTATTTGGGAAATTATTTTGTTATAGCAGTTGAAGTAGTGACGAATAGTTGATAATAATAATCATGCTATCTGACAGATGCCTCTATCAAAATATCCATGTTATCCATGATCGATAGAGGTTTGCTCTCCACCACAGCTTCAAATGTGCTTCCAGTTTGCAGCCGATCACAGAGCCAGCCTCTTTTGATGAGTTTATTCAGTCAGTTGTAGCTGTGCTTGCTACAACTGACTGATAAATAGGATCTTCATCTTCCTCAGGAAATAGAGCTTGTTCACACCCTTCTTGAATACAGCCTCTGTGTTGGTCTTCTAGTTCGGTCTGCTGTCTGATGATGGGACTCCCAGGTGCTTGCACTCTTCCACCACATCAACTTACTGTCCCAGGATAGATATAGCTAGTGTGGCCATCCTTTTTCTTCTGAAGTTGATCATATCTCTCATCATCTTATTCCCATTCAGAAGCAGATGATTCTCACTAAAGGCCCCTCACTACTACATCCATCCACTGCATAGTATTTGTGTAGGTTGCATGGAGCTGCACAGAAGGACTGAGGTGCAAATAAATTAAAGATAGTCTCCCGATTTGTGGCTCAGGATGTAAATGCACACAAAAAGATAATAATTAAGATGTCATTTGTGTGTATACATGAAGTCAGCAAGTGATGTAATAATGTGTGGCCATTCCAAAAGTGGACATTTCTGTATTTCTTTTCTCATAAATATTAAATTATGTTTGCTTACTTCAGGAGTCACGTTTCATTCAGATATCTGGACCATAATAACAGCTTTTAATCATAAATATCAGGTGTTATACTTAGAGGTTATCATTTTAATCAGAGGTGGTATTTCCCCCTTTAAAATGCATTCAAAATTTTCAGTGCAGCACTTTGATTTTCTCCTCCGGACCGTTTCTCACCGTGTTATTAGTCTTACCTTTGTGTCCCCCTCAGGGAAATGACCGAATATACTTTGCATTGCAAATGTTTTTGTTACGCAATCTAACTGCTGGGAGATGGGTGTAACGTTCCCTCTTTGTGCAGGGCCATTTAGGAAGTTACCCTAACATTTTAATCCCTGTAAAACGAGCTTGCATGCAGGCATGCTTTTGTCGGGTCAAAAGTTGCTCATACTTTTTATTGCTGCAAAAACATGTTGTTGTTGTTGTTGTTTTTTTAAAGCAAATTTTTGCAGCTTGGCTTGTGTAAACCATTCATAAAAGCAGTAGATTATCAAGTAAAGCCCCCTTCTTCCTTTCTTTTCCTCTTTGTCTGTTTTCAGGCTGCAGAGATGACCGTGCCTCCCCATAAAACCACTGCTGCTTGTAAAGTTTTTGTTTTGTCTCCTTTCAGAGGAGCACTGCTTCCTCCTCAGTATGGAGAAGTACGAGAAGATTGGGAAGATTGGAGAGGGCTCGTACGGAGTCGTCTTCAAGTGCAGAAACAAAGACACGGGCCAGATCGTCGCCATCAAGAAGTTTGTCGAGTCAGAGGATAATCCCATCATTAAAAAAATTGCACTGAGGGAGATCAGGATGCTCAAGGTAAAGACGCAGCCTGTCTGACAGAAGCTTGCAAATTAGTACAGAAGTTGTGAGAGAAAAACATCAAAATGATAAACGAATAAAAGAGGCATGTAATGCTAAAGTCTGCTTTACAAAACTGGTTTTCTTAATGCAGAGTTGCAATATAAAATTATGTGACTAAGAACAAAATATATGACTTACGAAGTTACATTTATCAAATAAAAAACTCATCAGGATAAAATTATTAGCAGGAAGCGTAAAACATTCACATTTTTTTACTTAACAAATCAAGTTTTTATCATAACTCTCAGCCAAACTATTGTTTTGAAACTTTAACTCAGTCTTTAGAGGATTTAAATCTTGTTTTTAATGCAAGGAAATGTAAAGCGTTCCTCCTCCTGTGCCGCCAGCGGGAGGGACACGGTGCAATTCATTCTGCAGACAGAGGGGAAACACTTCGCTTTCAAACCAGCAAACTTGAGAAAAGGTTTAGAGGGCTGTAATCAAATGAAGGCAAAACCCTGCAGGGTCAGAGCTGACTCCAGTATTTCAGTTGCCGTGTGAAATGTCTGTGAACATTGAGTTATCTTTTAAAAAAGCCTCTGGCACGAGTTGAATATCTTTCTTAGGCTGTAAATTGGAAGCTTAGGCTCAGTTGTGGTCAAGTCATGTGTTTTGTTAACGATGTACATATTTATCAAAGATGTACCGATGCGTTTGTTGGTGGTTTAATTAGTCATGCAGTGGGTGGGAGCGCTGGAGGCTTGCTGGACATCAGGAGCTCATAAATAGGACAGGTTGTCAGGGGCAACAGCATGTTTATTACCCTCTCTTAACAGTTTAGTGTGTTTGAGATACAGACAGAGACTGATGAGCCACTCCTCTGTGCAGCAGATTCTGCTTGTAATGTCTGTTTGGGATTTCTGTTTTCTGTCTGTGCAGCAACTGAAACACTCCAACCTGGTGAATCTGATCGAAGTGTTTCGACGCAAACGGAAGCTTCACCTGGTCTTCGAGTACTGCGATCACACCGTCCTCAACGAGCTGGACCGCCATCCCAGAGGGTGGGTGTGTCTCCCCACAAAACCTCGCTGAAAGAAAGAGATGCATGCAATTACTTGGTAGTTGCTTTGGAACTGCACATGTTTAAAGAACAGCGTTGCAAACACCTGGCTTTCGGCTATCTCCAAACTTCATTTATATAGCATGTATGCCGCTTTGTCCGGCTCTGATGGGCACAACGCTCATCTCCTGGGAGACTGACTGGCTTTCTGTGCTATGCTTACAGTGATGCCCTCCCAGAATGCTTTGCTGGAAGGGAGCCACATTTTATAGGGAGTGTTTTGGCTCTCCAGTCCCCCCGCCCTCCTCTAGTCTTGGCCTATAGCCTTCAGGCCACAGACGGGTTCAAAAGAAGAGACAACAAAATAGAGAGAAAGGGGCTGAGATTGTTATAAATCGCCAGTCACAAGGCTCGAATTAGCCATTTCCCCAGCAACACTGGTAGATAGCGGCCCCTTGACCAACAAAGCCTCAGTTGTTGAACATTGCGCCTCAAGAAAGAAATGGCTGGGCCCTTACTGACTGTCATCTTCAGCCACAGAGGGGCAAAAGAAAACTAGAAATGAAACAAAACAGAGCAGAAAACAGAACAAATGTGTTTTTTTGTGTTTTGCTAGATGAACCGTGACGAGCTACGCGACTTCTATTCCAAGCTCTGCAGATATATGGACTAAAGTCCCATTGTCTGCATTTACAGACATTTGTGAAAAAATGGGTCGTTCTAAAGAGCTCCCTGAATTCCTCCCAAAACTGTCTCACAAACCATTATTTTATCGAATCACAACATTATGGTCTTACTGACCTTCATCGAGTACAAAAAGCAAGTCAGTTTGTGAAATTTCTTTGCTTGGAATCCACAGCAACTCGGCTGCAAAGTGTCAGATCACGCAAAGTTACAGAGGAGTGTCGCTGAATGCATGAAGGATGCTAACATTCTTCTTATTCACTAACTGCAAAGCTCCAAACCTTCTGTGACATTAAATCAGCACAAAAGCTGTGTGCCGGGAGCTTCGTGACATGGGTTTCCATGACCCAGCAGCTCCTGTAGGCGTAGATTGTAGGTAGCCTTTTATCCATATACTGTATGACTGGCTTCTTTAGCAGCACCACTCCAGGGATGTCTGTTTGCTGGTCAGTCTACCACTGGGGTGACCAATCCCAGCCCTTAAGAGCTAATGTCCTGCAGCTTTTAGATCCACCTTGTTCCGACACACCTCAATCAAATGAATGGCTTGTTATCAGGCCTTTGCCAAACTTGATGGCATGCTGAAGAGGTAATAAAACCATTTGATTCCGCTGTGTTGGAGTAGAGATGCATCTAAAAGCAGGACGATTGCTCTCAAGGACTGGGATTGGGCACCCCTGGTCTACCACCTTCACACCCCACCTCATCAATGACTTTACGGACCACACTGAAAGTTTTGCACAGACATTGATGACCCCCAGAGCATGCATCTTACAGATTTTACTGATCCCAGACTTTTTTTTTTTTTTTACCAAACCAGGGGTTTGGTAAAAAAAAAAAACAAACCCTGGTAACAGGGGTGTTAATAATATTTTTGTTCATTATTAACACCACAAAACACAGACCCAATACAATATAACGATACAAAATATAAACAATATAAATACTAAATCTAGTAAACATGACAGAAATCTTAATGTCTGTTTTTTTGGCATCACTTGGGCTTGTTGATAGTGTATCAGGAAGCTTGTTCCCTCCATTAAAAGGCCTTACATTAAGAAAGGCAGGCAAGCGTGAAGCTCCAAGCTCAGTCTCTGACAATGTCATCACGTATTTGGAAATTTTCCAGTAAACCCCATTTTGTTCTAAGAATCTTTTCCAAGATCAACAAATACCCTTCAAGCTCGAATAAGTTTCTGTCCATCAGTTAACTGGTTTCCTCCCTGTCCTACAGCGTCCCAGAGCATCTTGTTAAAAGTATAACCTGGCAGACGCTTCAGGCCGTCAACTTCTGCCACAAACAGAATGTAAGTGACGTCACGCTCGCTTCTCCCACCTGACTCCTCACGTAGCGTATTTCCCAGTTGTCAAACCTTCCCCTCTGCTTTGTTTTTCAATTCCTTACTACCCTCCTCCCTCCTCCACCCCCCAACCAACACTCTGCTTTATGGCTCTTTTTTTTTTACAAGAATTCCTTTCCCGTGGCTGACCAGCAGTTAATGTATCACCAAGACACAACAAACGCTAGAACGGCCCCCGTATAACAATGTGGCTTGAAGTCTACAATCTCTTTCTACTCCCATCAGAAAGCATGCGGTTAAGTTCATAGAGTGGTGTAACTCTACTGTACTGTCTCTGCAGTGCATCCACAGAGACGTCAAGCCGGAGAATATTCTCATCACCAAGCATCAAGTCATCAAACTCTGCGACTTTGGCTTTGCCAGGATACTCAGTAAGTTTATCAGCAGCTGCAACAGTGTTGACAGTGCCCCTTAGTGGT